AATGGRAGAAAGAGGAAAGAGAGAGAGAGAGCGTAAAATCGAGAGCGCATAGTATGTAGTTTTATACATGTGGTATATTATCATTAGTTTTGAAATATGTTACTTACAATGTRTGTATTTATATGCTTATATCATTTATTTTATTTGGGCATAAGTAAGCCTGCTGAAAATAACGAATATGTGGGGTTTATATATAAAATTATAAATATTAATTACAATTAAATAATGTTGGGGATTGAAAAAATATTCAACATTTAGTTAATAATTTGTRTGCAAATGCGCCGTTGAACCCAGCATATGTTAATTTTCCCTGGCTGTACAAGATGCCCGCTGTACAATGAACYGTCATAATGCATTACAGCTTGTATCTACCCGCATATACAGTCATATGCACACACACACGCATACTTATGAACAAACAGACATGCATGCAATATTTACTTTTTGGATATTTTTGTTTGACTTCTTCAGTGCTCTTCTTTATTTATGTTTTGTTTTAATGACTTTTTTCTGTTAGTTGGCACACTGCTACCTGCACACACAACTGCATTTGCGCTTTTCATACACACATTCATATATATAAACAGCGTAAAAATATAAATTCAAAATAAAACMAAATTTTCCTTCGCACTCTCACTGCACTCTGCGGTGCTCAGCGTCTTCGTAAGAGAGCGCATATACGCGGGCAGCGTYCATGCATCTTCGACCTGTAGGAGCGTTGCATTCTCCGCCATACTCAYGCCAACTCACGCATTTCCGTTGCACACATACACATACACTTAGCCAACCGCACTCCYATGCATGGCAATACAACTGTGTGGCATATCTGTAGGCTCATTCACGGTTCGCGCGTATATACAACGATATACATATATGTGCATTTGTACATATGTATTGCRTTTTTTTCATACATTTGAAGTTATTTTAAAAATTTCGTTTTCAGTTTCGATTCGCCTGCGAACGCGTTTGGCCGCGTCCACTCTAGAGCCGTGTGAATAAATTTTTGATTGGTGATTGATTGAGCGTGTGACCACGACACAGCAGCAACGAAAACGAAAAAAAATAGAGGACAGACATCGTAGACGCCAACGCCAAACAGTGCGGATGTGATGTGTGAACATGAGCGGCGGCAACACATGCAACAACAACAAGATAACGACGAGTATAATGTGATTAATTTGTCTAGAGCTAAATAAATTTGTTAGTTTAATTAGTTACTTAACCGGTATGTGCGTACGCGTGGCGCCGTTTTTAAACCGAGTCGCTCCGTCGTTGTTTTAACTGTGACTTGATTACTTGCCAAGTGTCAAACGTCAATAAAGACGGGCTTCGAAAATATTAAAAAATTTTTTTTTATATTATATATCCAAATACATGCATATAAATATGTACAATAAAGTGCGGGTGCCATATGTGAAAACTACAATTTCAAAACTTGCCACGAGTGAAAATTTACGAAGTCAATATGAAAATTAATTTCTTCAAAATAACAAAAAATAAAAAAAAAAATTGTAGAGAAATACATTTTTTTTTTTCAAAAATACCAAATTTTTTGTATTAAAAATAATTTTTTTTAAAAAAAAAAAAAAAAAAAAAAATAAATACAATTTTGTATTGAATTTTTTATTTCAAAATTACAAAAAAAAAAATCAGTTTTGTATCGAAAACTATTTTTTATAAAATTAAAAAAAAATATGTAAATCAAATTTCAAACATTATGTTAAGTCACACGCTGTCTCTTATACACATCTAGATGTGTATAAGAGACAGTTTTTTATAAAATTAAAAAAAAATATGTAAATCAAATTTCAAACATTATGTTAAGTCACACGTGTATTTAAAGTATTGTTTATACCCATCTCAAAGACTGTTTGAGTGAAACTTTTTTATATTTAATCACTAAGTAAAATCTGACATACATATGCACATACAAACAAACCAACATAAAAACACTTATAAGATAAGCAAGCCATACAGCAACAACGAAAAAGCGAGCAACTTATGCGTCTAGCTACTTCTAAAAAAACTTAAAAAAAAACTAAAAGAATTTTCCAAGATTTTTTATTATTTTCCAAAAAAAGAATTTCATTGAAAATGTAATTAAATTAATTTTTTTTTTTTTTAATCTCAAAAATATGCGTGGATTTAATATTATATAATTGTTTGAGCTCATAATTAAAAGAAAAATGCAAATTATATAAAAAAGAAAATATCAAAAAATAAATATTTTTTTATTAAAAATATTAAATATTAACAATTTAAGATAAAAGTGAAAAATAAAGAATATAAAAACACACACTTACATATACATATGCATACACGAACACATACACACACACAGTCAACGTAGACTTTTCGAAAGGCAGACAACCTTAAAMACATACACAAAATAGCAAACAAACGAATACAGTTATAAATATTCAAACACACACGCATATGCTCACATACTTAYATACATACATACATACGTACTAATGTAGGTACATACGTACTAATGTAGGCTCTCTATGAAAGTAAAGATAAAATAAAACGCTGTGCTCCCTATTTTCATTTTCGTTTCGCTACACATATAAACACAAAGCACACACGCCCAAACACATACAGTCGCTTTGTAAATATGTGACTATTACAATTTCAGTATATAAAACCATATCAGTAATTTTTTTTTATTACAAACMTACACACCGACATCATCAACATATTTACATAAAAACATTAAATTTCGCTCTTATTTGCAAGAGGCGCTCGGGAGACTYGCTCTTCAAAAACTCTCACTCACCGCAAAATTGCCACAACTGCTGCTCAGAACTCAGCTATGACACGTCCCGWTGCGGCGTCTCGCGTATTAGTTTGTTCTAACACAGAAGAAGCGGTTCTGAGGRCAAATCTATGGTTTTGATTTATAGCTTTCTAATATTTGAATTGATSGATTTTCGAAAMTTTTAATATTTATTGATAAATGAAGTGCTAGTATTTAGTAGATCTGAAGGCTCTGTCATAATTTCTGAAGAAAATGATTGTTCGTGGCTTAATCTGTATTTATGCTTTGGGTTTGAATTCACATATGAAAGCCTAAAGTTACTTTTGAAGGATTATATATTCTATGCGAATCTAAAAATTCAAAACATTAAATATTGTTGGAATGATTACCTGACCKTACCTATATTTCTAATAGCTTCGGTTAGGTAAACAGGTTGATATTTGTCAAGCCACGAATAATCTCCCCCCGGAGACCTAAATACGCCTTTTCGTTATGATGCAGAACTCCTAAGTATAGATCAGAAAACATTCGCATGTGGACATAGCACCTTGAGCCTGGCACAAATTTTCTGAAGGACTGACTCTCGGTTGTCTGTTTCAACCTTAGTATGACGAAATCAGTTAGTGAAGAAGAAAATGCCTAATGCTTCTGCTTAATCTTTCTCCGAGCAAAAAGTTGCAGTTAGTTAGAATAACTATCATTGCAATGGTGTGGACTTTGCAGAGAGAAAACATACCACTTAAGTTTCACGCTGAGCTCGCGTGAATCACATAGATCATACGACAGAACGCACGAAGACAGGGGAAGACTAGCTCGTTCTCAAGTTGTATGGATTTCGGTAAGCGTGACCTTTCTTGTAAGTTCATTGGCTTTATGAATTCCAACGATTCAGTTGTGAGTAGAAGCACAGAGAAATCTAACGTARCTTGATGCTAGACTATCCACTTTCTGATTATCATTGAGCTCACAGTCAGYGAGCTCTAGGCCTATATAGTCATCTGCTACCGAAGTGAATGCTTACTGCCCTGATAGAAGCTGTACTTCGGAAAAGTTATGTATATAGATATTCAAAGACAACAAAAACATTTTTAATAATTGGTTTCCGTTCTAATTTTACGTACCATCGAAAATTATTAAATTGTAAGATGATAAATATGTACTTATGTATAACCGGCTATGTGAGTGGTGCATATCCACCAGGATTTAAATCTAGTCAAGGACTGGCACTTCAACAAAAATTTTAAAGCAAACTTTAATGTTCTTTGCAAATTAGCATCGTTTCCGAACAACAACCTAAACCGGACCTAACTCTCGGAAGTGCTCTGGGTATATATATAATATTTGACCCAGGACAGTTACTTCAGCGCCGTTAATGGCGTTACAGAAACAGAAAAAATTGTTGTGGACTAGTTGAGAACGTTTCAGAACATTGTGTGCTTCTAAAAAAAGATCTTCTTTATAATAATGAAATTTCTATAAATATAAAAACTGTTCTACACACTCTGATTTTTCATTAAAAATTAACTTGTTTTTGTGCTGGCTCGCATTAAGTCTGAGAGAGAGGAATTAATTACTGCCCATCATTGTTCTGATAGCAACTGTTGCCGGTGAGAGTCGCTGTTGTTACTTTTATTTGCGCAGCGTTGCTCATTTTGTTTCGAMGGCGCAAATTCTTGCTCATATGAAGAGTAGCAGACATTAATCAAGAGAGCGCAGAGAGCAGTGTGCAATTCTAAAATCAAAAGGTTTGAAGAAGAGCATAGAAAGTGCCGGCAAGTGTCGGCCAGACAACTGGCCACAAAGGTTATAATTATGTATGTATGTATGTGTGTAATTAACCTCTTTGGCAGACACAATTCGGCAATTTACATAAATTATAAGTTTTGTTTATTTCTGGCCATAAAATCTCAGTATTTTTGAGAATATTAAAAAAATTGTTGTAAACAAAAATTTAGTCGCTCTTCTATCTCCCAAATTTCGGCCGCCTTTGTAATTCATTTTAACGCTGTTTTGTTGTTGCTTTTGTTGTTTTGACAACACACATAATTTCCGCCGACAATTTTTTTTACGGTTTTTGCTTCTTTTACATTTGGGAGCATACAGTTAAGAGTTACTTTTTGGGGAAGTCCAACTAGAAACTCAAAAACCAAAAACTCAAGCTCTTAAAAATTACATACATACCCAACATATGTATGTATAGAGGTATGCATATTTCGTACTCGTATTCCGTATTCGCATTTGGTTGCCATCGTCGTGTTACGTTGCGCCTCCAACATCATCATCATCATCATCACCACCATTATAATCGTCTCGGTCGTCGTCATCGTCGCTGTGGGGCCTGTTCTGTSCGCTGTGCGGCCCGTCTGTCTGCCAGTTAGTTMGCCAGTCAATGTTGACGCTACACGACGCTGCTCCACTCTGCATTGCTCCGCTCCGCTCGTTTTTCGCATTTCGCATATTTAATATTGGTCGCAAATACAATTCGCAATTATTCAATCGCGAGCAGCATTGCAGTGCGGATCCCCCGAAATTCAGTTAAAAAATATCCATACGTTTAGCGGTCTTTCGACTTCTCATACACAATTTATTTGACAGTTTTGAGTTTGACTTCGAGTTCTACATACAACCGTAAAACCAGTCGAGTATTGTGGTGTCTGTTGTCAGTGCTTCTTACAAAGCTGAAGTGTTGTTGGAAAATAAATATTTTCGAAATATTGTACCTTGTGTTGAGCGTTGAAAAATATAGTTTTTGAAATATGAAAAGAAAAGTTTTTGTTTTTGAAAATAAAATTTTTAAACATTTTTTTTTTTAAGCAGGAGGAATATTCTCGAAATATTGTATGATGTGTTGCTTATTGAAAAACAAAGTTTTT